TTCACCTCTCAGCATTTACTCCTCTGCTACTTCTCTCATCTTTCTCTCTGTGAAGATTTTAAGTATTGATCCACTTAAAAAGGCTGTGTTTATAAAAAGGGTGTTCATCTGTGCAATGTAGGTGATGTACGATTGATTTCATGGGTTTGGAGTAAAGGGTGTCAAATCAAATGGGAAAGCTTCATCAAAACAATCTGGGATCAATTGTTCTAGACCATCAACCCACCACCGCCGGAGGCGGTGGTGGGAATTTCAAGTTTTGGTCGTCATGTCGTCGTAGAATCATTGCCACAATGAGATGCGGTGGAGGCGGGTATCGCCACCGCGAAACTGTTATGTCTCCGGTGATGGAGAAGCCGAAGGAGGAGAGTAAGAGATCCGAATGTAGATCTGATGTGATTAAGAGCTATAACAACTGTAAGAGTAAGAAGTCTGACAAGCTTTCGGAGTTGCTGAGGATGTCGGAGTTGTGGGAGGAGGAGGAGGAAGCGGTGAAGAAGAAGGTGGAAGTGTTGGAGGAGTTAAAGCGGGTGGTGAAAGGGTTACAGTGCGGTGGTGATATCGAACTTTTGAGTGGCGCGAAGGATGTCAGAAGGTTAGCGAAGGAAGATTCCGATGCCAGAACGACTTTAGCATTGCTTGGAGCAATCCCGCCGTTGGTCGCCATGCTTGATTCCAACGATCTCGATTCTCAAATCGCCGCCCTCTACGCCCTTCTAAATCTCGGAATCGGCAATGACGCGTAAGCACTTCCCTCCCAAATTCAAACTAAATTTCTTCATTTCCATGTTTCATGAAGCTCACTAAATCCACGATTCGACGCTTTAGTTGCTGTCATGAATCTAGGGTTTTGAACTTTTGATTCCATTTCACAGCATTTGATATAATTGTAATCAAATTTCGGCTTAATGATCACTTTTCCATATTCGATTTCACCCATTTTAATGGAGCTTAGATCTGTTTTTCTGTTCATGGGTTTGACTAAATTATAATAAAATATTTCAGGAACAAAGCCGCCATTGTTAAAGCAGGAGCAGTACACAAGATGCTCGATCTAGTCAAAACCCCAAATCAAGATTCGCCAAACGCCGATTTATCCGCAGCAATTGTAGCCAACTTTCTAGGGTTAACCGCACTAGATTCAAACAAACCCATCATCGGATCATCAGGAGCCATCTCGTTCTTAATCAAAACCCTAAAAAATTCCACCAAAAACATCAATCCCCAAGTGATTCAAGACTGTTTAAGGGCACTCTACAACCTATCAATCCTGCCATCAAATATCTCCCCAATGATCGAAATCGATGATTTCATCCCCTTTCTCCTAACCACATTAGGAGACATAGAAACAAGCGATAGAATCTTGTCAATTTTAAGCAACATTGTCTCAACCCCTGAAGGTAGAAAAGCCCTAAGTAGTGTCCAAGATTCATTTCATACATTAGTCGATGTTTTAAATTGGATAGATTCACCAAATTGTCAAGAAAAGTCAACGTACATTTTAATGGTGATGGCTCACAAATCATATAGAGATAGACAAGCCATGATTGAATCGGGGGTTACATCTTCCCTCCTTGAACTAACACTCTTAGGAAGCACTTTAGCGCAAAAACGAGCTTCTCGTATTTTGGAGATTTTAAGGATGGATAAAGGCAAACAAGTGTCCGAAACCTTTGTAGGAACTACTACAGGGGCGAATCTTTCAGCGCCCCTTTATGGGTCTGTTGATCTGGTTAAATCCAGATCAACAGACCCCATGAATCCTGAAATGATGAGTGACGAAAATAAGGCGGTGAAGCAATTGGTACAACAAAGTTTGCATAGCAACATGAGGAGGATAGTGAAAAGGGCGAATTTACCTCAAGATTTTGTGCCTTCGGAGCGTTTTAGATCGCTTACATCGATTTCGACTTCAAAGAGTTTACCATTTTGAGATGAAAATCTTATTATGTGTTTGTTTTTGTACCTTGTTATAGTAGGTTAATCTTGTGGTTATTATGTATGATGATGATGATGTCTTATGTTTTTGGTCTTAGAATACTAATAGAATGACCAATGTTTTGGGGATCTTAATATGTATTGTAGAACATAGAATCTTTAGTTTACAACTTTTGTGTAGTTCTATGTAACTTTGTTTTTCTAAATTTTTAGAGGTATAAGTAGTTCATTGTGGGTTTTGTGTGATTACATGGGGATCTTGTAAGGATATACTTGAACCCATTTAATGAAGAGCAAAATCTAATTCTAAATTGAATCGAATTTGATTGAGATAAAGATAGATTGAATTATAGAACTATGGTAAATAGTTTGAAGATTGATCGAATTAGACTCAACCTCATTGTTTATAGGCAAACGAAAAACATATTAAACAACCATTAATTTAAGGTGAATGGTTTGTGTATGGTTGGTCAAGACAAAAAACAAGGCTATGATTTATATGGTTTATAGTTTAATATATATTTGATTAATAAAATTTATTAGTATATTTATATTGTTTCTGTTAATATATACGCACATACACCACCTTTATGCATGTGTACATCTTCCTGTTTGGATGATATGGACAGATGAGATAAAAGATTGGACAAACTATTAAGTTGTTTTTATTCTCATAACTATTTGGGGATTCCTGTTGGGTTCTAGTTATATTTTGGTGTCTTCCACACATTTAACGATAAATCCAGCTTCACTTTTCACATGTTAAAATTCCTGCCAAAAGATGCAATGATTTAATGTAGTAGTATCACTTTTTCATTATATTACTTTACCTTTTCTAAAATAAAATAGTTGTTGCTGTGAATTACTGTTTGTTCCAAAACTTATAAGATATTTTTTAATGGCGGACAATTTTTTTAATTAACAAAAGCTAGGTAATAAACTAATATTTTTGTACATACTTGGTAATTTTTTAAAATGATTTATCTTTAAACATATATTTGTAGTTCAGTAAATATCATTCATTGATTATTGCAGGTTTAGCTGTTTTATTAGTTCAATAAACATCATCAAATAATTTATCATGAAACTTAATTTTTTATACATTTAGTTAGTTTGGTCTCCTTCGGTCATCATCAATTTTCCGTTAATCTGTTCTTGCCAACGAAATTTCAGAAAAAAAAAAAAAAAACTTTACCTATTCATTAAAAAAAAAAACATTTGCCAAGTGTATAGTCTTATCCTTCTCATCTCCGATGAAAACATTCTCACACTTTACTACCGCCGACATCCTTCATGCCACCGCTCAAACCTTTCTATGTTCATGTCCCTCTCCTGCTACTTTGCGAAAAACCACCGGTAACCATGCATGTTCAAGGATACAATTCAATTATTGGAAATTTCTTGGAGGTTTGAATTTACTTCAGGTTAAAGCTAATTTTAGATTAGTTACTTGGTGGTGGTGGTGAACAGTGGAGATGGATGTTTGTAGTGGCAAATGACAGTGATGGAAGGTGGTGTTTTTTAATTCATTGCAAAGCGTATGGTCTCATCCTTCTTATCTCTTGATGAAAACGCCCTTACACCCATTACTAGGGCTGTAAACGAACTGAACGTTCGGCGAACCGTTCGTGAACTGTTCGGCGGGAAGTTCGTTTATGTTCGTTTATTTAATAAATGAACGAACATGAACAAAAATTATCGTTCGTTTAGTTAAATGAACGAACATGAACAATGGTCTCGTTCGTTCATTTATGTTCGTGAACGTTCGTTTATGATGTTCATTTACGTTCGTTTATGTTCATTCGTTTAAGTTTATTTATATTCATCTATATTCAATTATTTTTTATTATATTGCTATATTATATGTTCGTTTATGTTCATATATGTTTAATTGTGTTTTTTTTTTTTTTTTATTTTTATTTTTTATCTTTATTCGTTTATGTTTGTTCGTTTATGTTCGTTTAGCATGTTCACGAACATAAATGAACGAACATGAACAAAGTAATTAGTTAAATGAACGAACATGAACAAGAAAATCTCGTTCGTTTATCCGTTCATGTTCGTTTGTTGTTCGGCTAACTTAAACGAATGAACATGAACAGGACCTTGTTCGTGTTCGTTTGGTTCGTTTACAACCCTACCCATTACTACGGTCGACATCTCTCCTACCACTGCTCATATCTTTCCCTGCTCCTCTTCTTCTCCCGCTACTTTGCGAAAGCCACCCGATGCAACTTCCTCCTCTCATCCCTTTCTTGTTGAATTGTTTGCCAATGGTAACCACATTCGTTTAAGGATGTAGTTTTATTGGTCGAATCCGAGTTTAGATTGATTAAAGGTTTGAATCCATTTTTAGGTTTGAATGTAAGTTTGAAGCCAATTTTAGATTAACCACTTGGTGGTGAATGGCGGAGATGGTTGCTTGTGGTGGCGGGTGGTGGTGATGGAAGGTAGTGTTTATTGCTAGTGGTAGGAGGTGGATGGTGGTAGTGGGAGTGGATGATATTAGGCAAAAAAAAAGATGATCACGATATAGTTTAATGGTAATCGTGTATAAAAAAAGTTTAATGATAAATCATGTATATACAAAACATCAACTTGCGATACAGAGATTTTGAATAGTTTGGGGGTGACTTTAACGGTAAATCCTGTATAAAAATAATCATTAAATGTGTATAAAAGTGATACTTAATTATCAGGTACAATCATTTTCCTAAAAAGAAAAAACAAATAGAATATGAGATGATAAGCTTTTAGATTCTAATATAAGATTTTGACACTACTCTTTCCATTTGAGAAGAACGTCTTTTTTTTTTTCTTCCGATAAGTGATCCAAGGATAAGAGAGTGTTTGTACCTTAGTAGCTAGGCGTCGTCTCTGATTTTGAATCATTTAAATGTAAAAATTGATTCATAAATTACCATATTACCCATAAAACATGAGGCATATAACTTTATGTACCTCAACTATAAAGTGGTAAACAAGAAACGAAAACAAGGATTACTATATAAACTCTCATTGGAATTTTTATTGAAGTAAACTCTCATAGGAATTACATCGATATGGAGATTTACTGCATAAACTCTCATAGGGATTACTACAAGATGAAGATTTTGAACAACTTGGGGCGACTTCAACGGTAAATCGTATATAAAAATAAACATTAAATGTGTATAAAAGTGATAGTTAATTACCATGTACAATCATTTTCCCAAAAAGAAAAAACAAATAGAATACGAGATGATAAACTTTTACATTCTAATATAAGATTTTGGCACTAATCTTTCCATTTGAGAAGAACGTTTTTTTTCTTCTGAGAAATGATCCAAAGATAAGAGAGTGTTTGTACCTTAGTAGCTAGTGTCGTCTCTGATTTTGACTCATTTAAATGTAAAAAATGATTCATAAATTACCATATTACCAATAAAGCACGAGGCATATAGCTTTGTGTACCTCAACTATAAAGTGGTAAACATGAAACAGAAACAAGGATTACTACATAAATTCTCATAGGAATTTTTATTGAAGTAAAAACTCATTAAAAAAACTTCAATAAATGAATCTAATTACATGAACCTATTATATACACACACACACACACACACACATTGTTGCTACGTAGCAACCCGGATGCTTGTGGTTGTCTCCTTTATGGCCTCTTCGAATGAGCAGCAGGTAACATGCTATATTTTATGTGAAAACTATAGGTTCGAATGTCATACTGAGGATGGACCCCTAATATTGCTCTCTGATGCCTAAGTTAGAAGTCATGTTTAGAGCTTAGATCTTAAATGTATTAGAATTGCCTAGGGTTTTTTAGATCTTTTCTCTTGAGTTAGGCGAAAGCCTGCTTTTGTAGTCGGGGCTCAAACCGGTTCTTGGTTTCTCCTTCTAGGTTTTGCGTTAGTCTTAGGTCATAGGGTTAAACCCCATTTATATTAAAATAGTATTGCATTTTCCGTGTTTCCTAAAGATGCTTCATAGGATGTGTATGGTGATAGGGTGATTCTTGCTCTATATGCTCAATACCACATATGTATTTGAGTCTATATTGGTAGGTTGGGTTCTTTGCTAGCCTGGTGTTGTGTTGGATGATGCCCATTATCCATTAATCCCTCTATCCTAATTGTTATAAAGTGTTGCTGATTTATAATAATTGGGATTAAGTGGTTTTTGCTTCTCCAGTTTTACTCAACCCAGTTAATGCCTCTTGGTTTTCTCATGCGCCCATGTCTTCACGTAGGCCTATATACACTTGAGCTGAGCTCTTTTTTAGTAGCAGTTGTCTTTCTCGCTTTCCATTTCATAAATGCTTATCACATCTGTGATAGTTCCGTCCTTTTATTCTTCCTTCTTGTTCTTCCATATTCTCTTTGCCATTTCTTTTTATTGAATCCTCATACGTTTTGCAAGAGTATATGTCGTTCATTCTTTCATCAGTCGTGAGCATCTTGACCAAGTTTCTGCGAAGTACCATCTTGTTGACGGGGATGGTGTTGCTCTTCCTGCTCCTGATGCAGTTACCGATCGCCCTCCATTACGTAAGGTTGGTTTCTATCTTTACTACTTTGAAGCTGGTCTTTATGTTCCTACTTCGTCGTTCTTTGGCTCGATTATTGAAGCGTACATGATTCATACTTGTCAACTAAAACCTAATTCGATTTCAAAAGTTATATGTTTTGAACTGCTCCGCCACACCTCTTTTGTTGTTCCCATTGTTGCTTTGTTCAAGTATTTTTTCCGTATTTGTAGTAATGGGTTTTGGTATTATTTTCGCTCGACGGGACGAAGTTTTATCAAGGGTCTTCCTAATTCCATAAAAAAAAAATTAGAAAAATGAATTTATCTAGTTGAACGTTTCTTTCTTCCTTTATCAAAATGTATTTCACCTTCCTGGAACAATTAATGACCAAAAACTTAAGAGGACTAGTGACTTGGGCCAATATATAAATAAGATTTCTCATTTTAATGTAATGATGAAGAAGTTCCCTAAAGTTGTGTTGGGGAAAGTTGGCATGAGTCTGTATTGGTTGCATCTTGGTATTATTCCTACTTTATTCGTCCATGGTCTGGGTATGTGCTTTTACAAAATGTTGTTAACTCTTGCTTTAATTGTGTGCATTGATCCCATGTTTGCTTCATACAGATGGAAGTCAGTTTCCATTTATGTTGTCTGACTTTGTTGAGGGTAAGGTTGTGGCACGGGATCTTGGTTCTGACGATTTTAAACTACCAATGATCAATGATATATTTACTTATGGTGATAGAAATGACAATAATACCCAAAATGATGATGAGGAGGATTCGGAGTCCTCGACTAAAGTACATGAATTGTATGATGATACAAACAATCTTCGTACACCCCCTGTTTCTACTGACCTTGTGACTGTTTCTAATGATGATGGTGATGATGAGAGTGGTGAAGGACCTTTAGTACGTCGTAAAAGAGGCAGAGACTCTGCTGCTTCGACTGCCATAACAATTGTTCTAGCTGGTGGGGAGGGTAGTAGTGGTAGGGTTCTCAAGAGATTCCATTCCTTAGATCATGGTGCTTTCCATGATTTTGCTAACAGCTTTAGTGTGGGCCATCCTTCTTCTTACATGACTCAATTGAATATGAACAACCCTCCTCATGATGCAGTGTTCCTCATGTTGGATCACTGTCTAAGCCCGTAACTATATTTGTTATGTACTTGACCCAGTTGTGCATGGTCGTTTTGGGTTGCCTTCACCAAAGCAACTTGATAGGATGATTTATGGAGAGAGAGAGAGAGAGAGGTTATTATGGTTTATTAATATATTATATGAATAATATATTAAAGGATAAATCATATTGTTTAATTAATATTTGACAGGAATTAATTCCATGGCTAAAAGACATTAATTAAATAAAGGGGACTAGAACTGTCAATTGTGTGATAGTTGAATATTAGACTAATGGACTCCATAGAAGTTGGAGTGGATGAAATCTATGGGGAAACCCATTAGAATTCGTCCAAGGCTTCTAAGGAAGGAGTCAATGGGCTGTTTAAGGCCTAAGCAGTTAGATTAGGGTTTCCTAGTTCAAAACCCTAATAGCCTCACTATATAAGGAACCCCTAAGGCCCTAAAAACGTGTGGAAGTAATCCCTAAGGGTTCTTAGAAGTTTTTGGTGCCTTCTTTTCTTCTCATACGTCATTTTCTTGCTTGTGACTCTAAGCTCCAAGACAAGAAGATTTAAGCCATTCTTGTAAAGGTAATCATCTAGATCTGATCTTATATGATAATTTCGAAATATGTATGCTAGATATAGGGTTCTTAAGTATTGGATGAATTTCATGTACAATAGAGAAACCTAGATCCAAACTTTGGTGTTTGTATGAGCACATAGGATGTTCTTTTGTATAAAACCCATCAGTGGTATTAGAGCCTTGATTGGTTTCTGTTGTATTTGATGTTTACATGTTCACTAATTACTTGAAAAATCGATTTCTGCCCTCTGCCCGACTGAACTCGGTGTGTCACTTGTTGGACTCGGCGAGTCAGCCTAACTCGGCGAGTCCAGAGAGTGACTTGGCAAGTCCAGGAGTCACACAGATGGGAAATCGGGATTTTTGTTGTTTTTGCTGAAGGATAATTACCAAAAACTTTTTTCATTAATAAAATCCAAAATTTATCAATATTTGGTGATTATCCTTACCAAAATAGAAGATAATTGTCAAAATTAAAATAATTACTTGTTTTATAAGAGAAATATTAATTATTTGTGATTTTGTTTTTTGAATTATCTTGTAAGAAATTGAATTAGGTCAAATTTAGATAATTACCACTTATTTGATTAATTTAATTGTTTGTAATTTGATCTAGATAGTTTTAAAAAGTTTCAAAACTTGTCCTCAAGTTTTGGAAATTAAAATTTTTGATTAAAATTTTAATTTTAAAATATGAAATTCTAAAACCCTAGTTTTTGAAAAAGTTCAAATTACACACTTATGATTTTATTAAGTTAATTAAATTTATAATTAAAGGAGAGTTAATAAATCCATAATGATATGATTTATATTTAATTAAATTAAAAGTGTAATTTATTAGACCACCTAGTATTTTAAAAGTGTAAAATACACCCTTATACTATATATAAAATTAAAAGTCTAATATTATATATGTATAAGTAAAGAGTCAGTCTTACCGTTAGTATGCATCATTCACGAAGTTGATCTCTAATGGGTGTTTAAGGAAATTACCTATAAAATGGCGATTGAATGGGTATCCACTCTTACCCACCACACTCTTAATTGGTGAGGGTCGTTAGCCGAATGGGTAGGATAGGAAAAAAAATCATTATAAGTATGATGAACTATGAAGTAACTAAACACTTTTATAAATTCCTAAATCTTAGTTACTTTAGGATAATGTGGAATTGGTGCAAATCCATGAAATTGCACATTGCACCCTTATTGGTCGATTATTGGAGCGTGTGTGGTTAACCGATACACTAATATGGGACCAATGAAGGATGGAAATGGGTAACTTGATGTTTATCATAGATCAATGGAGCATGTGTGGTTAACCGACACATTGATTAGGTGATTCGTAACATTGAGAGTACCAAGCTAATTTGCATGGTTATCCACAACTTGTTTGTGATCCTCAGCATCCCAGTCACAAATGAAGGGCCCAATCAAGATTTAAACATGGCATTGAAATGTTCAATAAATCTCAATGGATCTAGGAGTTTCAATTCATTTAAAACTAAAATTTCCTTTTCGTTTTTCATGGTGGAAATTGGTAAATCGTCAATTACCTACCTTCAAATGTTTTGCAATTTGGATTACGGCATCCCTCTTCCAAGTTGTAGAATATTGTGTTGAGTCCTAGCCTTAATATCTAATTTGGGTTTTTTATTAAGGACTCAATTAACTGACTTGAATTTTATCCAGTTTTGTAGATGTCTGATTCTAACTATGGTCTTCCTAAATCCTTGGAACAAGCTTTCCACATGAAGATGATATTCTACAATTCGATCGAGGAACAAGATATCATTCTTCACTTCCTCCACCTCCTCCTATTGTTCTCCCTGACCCACAAATTCGAAGGCTTGAAAAGTTCAAGCTCACTCAAACCCTTTTCGCAAGTAAACATGAAGAAGGAAAGTCAGTATGTGCACACGTCTTAGAGATGAAGTCACATATTGACAGGTTAAGAAAGTTGGGAGTCATTTTTCTATTAGAAGCTAGCTATTGACTGGGTTCTTCAATTGCTTACTGACTCATATAGTGAGTTCGTAAGAGAGTACTATATGATAGACCATGATGTGACCCTCATCGATCTCACCTATCTGCTTGTTGCTGCTGAATCAACAATGATTTGGCACACTGGAGAAGCAAAGTTGATTGGTAGATCTGCCTTCCAAACCTCCATGGACATAGACAATGGCAATGAAAGGCATGCCATGGTCAAAAAGTTTGACCATAATAGAAAGGCAAAGTCTGAGGTAGTTCCGTGTGCTGTTCCAAAAGAGTCAATTTGCTTTTATTGCCAAGAGAAGGGGCATTAGAGATGAATTCGCCCTGTCTACTTGCGAGATATAATAGATGGGAGAGTCAAGACGTATGGCTCTACTTCAGGTAAAATCCATTAACTAACTCTATAAGTTCCTATTATTTTATTCTTAATACATGATGTGTTAAGATTGCATTTGGTGTTTTTGGAAGCTTAAAGAAAGAAATGAGCTGAGCCTGATCGCGAATAAATAGATTTCGATCGCATGATTCGATGATTGGATTTTTGGAGCTGCTACTTTTAGAGTTATGATAGATTGCTTAGGAATATGTAATAACGTAGTTTTCATTTGCATTGCATTGTTAGGACAAGTTTTTCCGCACTTTTTATAAATAAAATAAATTTTGTGTTTTGTCTTATTTATATTTCCTTGCAAAGGCATGAATGAAAATTGATGTTTGTGTATTTCTGTTTTTAGCAATGTTGAGATGGATGTGATTCTTAGTTATGTTATTTGTGGTAATGTCGAGAATTTACCAAATAAGGAAAGATTCTTGTCGCCCGAGTTTCAATTGGACAGAAACTTGGAATCATACAACTTGTATTGTATGATGAATGAGAACCTTCATATTTGGAAAATTAAGACTAATTCCTTGACAAAGAGTCAAGAGAAGGACTAGGAGAACTGATACATAATGTTGTGCACTGGTCAAGTCCACCACAAAGAACAATACGATTATTCGTCATGATTTACTAAAAGTCTAGTAAATGTGGTTATACTTACAAGATTAAGTATAATTCTGAATCATTGAAAAGTTTCAATGAATGGCAGAACGAATAAGAAGAATCAAATAGGCAGAAAGATAAAAGTTTCTCCAATCTAAGAATAAGGGAGAGTACTTTTGTATCGTGTTTGATGATCATGTTGTTGATTATGAAACCATATCACAATTAATCATCTAAGGAAAAATTAGTGTACTAGTATGGCTAAGAAGAGGAATCGGAAATTGTTGAAATGGTTAAATCAAAAAAGGATGAGTCATACTTCGTTCCAAAATCAAGTCTCAGAGTCATACTCCAAGATTGTGAATTGCACATCTTAAGAAGTTCTAGCACACTCATCAAATGTGAAGCAGAAAATTGTTTTTCTTACTCTTGCGTGTTTGAAATTGGTAAACTGTGATGTCTTGGACAAGACAAAGACCGACTAATACCATTTGTGTGTAGTGTTAATCTTGATAAGAATCCGCACTAACTCTTGAATATATGTTTGTCAAGAGAAGCTTATATGTCAAGAGGTCGGTGGGAGTCTAAATGATATTGAAAAGTTTCAAGAACAAATCAAGAATAAACCTAGTTAAACACTAGCACACGACTTGAGGTTTATCGTGTTGACATATTCTTGTTTCTGTGCCATTCCAGTTTGGTCAACTATGCATATGAGTTCTACGAGTTCTCAATAGACTGCATAAAGGCAAGCACCTTGTTCAATGAAAGTACATTGACTAGTATATGTGAGCTGCTAAATAACTTGGAAGCAATGGTGGGACCCTTGATGGCAAGAAATTAAGAATGGATAAGTTTTGTCCATAAGAGTTTGGATTAGTCACAAACACTATCTTACGATTATGGTTATGGCAAATTCACATGGATAGGAACACATACACTATAAAATCTAAGTGTCATAAGGTTTATCTCCTTCATGAAAATGATTGTGAGGAAACGCTTTAACTAAGAAAGATTTTAAGAAGATAGCAATTGTGTAGATTGCATTCTTAAATTCGATTATGATTACGACATCCCTCTTCATTGTTCGAATTGTGAGATTTGGCGATTAGTCTGAACATTTGGGACTTAGTAATATAAATTCTGAATTAGTTTAGACACACATGTGAGTTATCTAAGGAAAGGTGTATGAGTTTGAGATGACCAAATAAAGGCTTATCAAATAATATTGTATTAGGAAAATGAACTTTGGAAGTCAATAAGTATTGTTTTCTAAGAAGTTTAGCTGATTTCTAAATACGTGTCAAAGCTAGTGGGAGCATAAATGTTTTGCCGGAATGGATATAATCATCATATTAGTGGGAGCATGATTATTATTTTAAGTGTTGCAAGTTAGCAATATTAGTTATATAAAACAAAAGGTTTCACTTTGCAAAGTTGCGGGGGTTGAAAAGTTGTTTTGCTATAATTAAGGAAGAGGACGTTATACTTTGTTTCGAAATCTAAAAGGTTAGATCAAGAAATTTTAATCAAATTTAGTCAAGGATATATTAATCGCATTCCTAAAATTCGATTATGATTACGACATCCCTCTTCATAGTTCGAATTGTGAGAACATGACAAATGGCTGATAAATTATCATGCTTTTATGTAAGACATTATTAATCGTGTCCCATACGCTTCTGGTATAGGATCGATTGCATATGCTGTAATATCTGACCGTTCTAAAATTTTCCAAATGCCTAGGGCATTAAGAGGGAAAAAGGACTGGAACCGGATTTGACTAAAATAATTAAACAACTGTCAAGGACAATCTAAGGTTCGCCAAAGATTGGTCACTTGTGAACAGTTAGAAGTATACTAATGGATGGACCATATTGACTTTATTATGAATAGATAATACTCTATTTAGACCGCGTTGTCATATGGAAAATATGGAAATGTTTCCATACTGGGAGTTGGACGTTAAGAATTTATGTCTAGATTAAAAACTTTTATGCAAGAAGGATGTTCAAAGGAATGTACTTTGAATGTGAGACTTCACATCTATGGAATTGTCTTGTAACAATCTACAATAGAGCATTTTGTAATTTCATTGGCCGAGTCTTGGTGACTTTTGTGCCATGAAATTACGAAAGGACCGTTGCATAAAATGTTAGAATCTAACATATCCTAGTAGTGGCGAGAATTTTGTATTCTTAAACTAATGATTAGGATTAGGAATTGTGAAATGAGCATCATTGGAAATGTGTTCAATTGATCTATTTCACAGAGTAAGGATGATAGGTAAACATAGTGTGCATGCTTGGAGCATGGGACACCTATTCTTATAATTCAAGTAATTAGTTGATTACCCAAAACAACAAATAACGAGTAATCAGTATGGTGATTAAATAAAGGTGTCTTATTTATACTCAAAAAGTTTGGGGCCATATAGGATTAGTATTATTCTTGTGTTTCACTTGGCATGTTTTAACTTCAAGAATAACTAGGTTATTCAAACCATCCACAATTGATTATACTTTGGAAGTACATATGAAAGAAGATTGTCATGAATCTGACTGTAGATTGTCTAAAATGTATTAAACATAGCAAAAGTTTGCTGCAGGGTTCATGAGTGCTCCTATAAGATTAGAGTATTGGATTAAACCCACACTCACTTGGATCGCTTCATGGATTTTATCACGAGTGATTGGTGAGACGATAATATCTTATATTCTTGAAACCGAGATGTGTGAGTTGTATTATGCAAGTTGGTTTCACATTGATAATGTGTAAACACGCCAGTAACTTGGTGTTATAAAACATATTGATGTGTGTGATTTGCTGAGTAGATACAAGAAAGCATTTGAGTCGAAGTTTATCCGTTCCTTTACCCAAAGTGGGATAAAAGCGATATTTTGTGGTCCCCTCGATGATTTAGTGATGACACCCTAAGCGCTTGGCCAAGCCGGTACTAAGTTGATGTGTTCAATTGTAGTCTGTTGTTAGTCGTCATAAATCGGAAGTCGGGAAACAACATATAGACAGAGAGAATGATATAAATCCATATCGCCATCTATACGATATCTAGAATGGAGGTATATATGATCCCTTATCTAAAGGACAAGTTGCTGATAAGATCAGAGTTTGACAGCGTCTTTGAGAGCTACGATTGCTAATCAGATTGTACTTGCATTATAGTTACTAGACTTATCCAAGTGGGAGACTGTTGGATTAGTGTCTAATCCCGTAACTATATTTGGTATGTACTCAACCCGATTGTGCATGGTCATTTTCAGTTGCCTTCACCAAAGCAACTTGATAGGATGGTTTATGGAGAGAGAGAGAGAGAGAGGTTATTATGGTTTATTAATGTATTATATGAATAATATATTAAAGGAGAAATCATGTTATTTAATTAATATTAGACAGGAATTAATTACTAATTAATTTCGTGGCTAAAAGACATTAATTAAATAACGGGGACTAGAACTGTCAATTGTGTGATAGTTGAATATTGGGCTAATGGACTCCATAGAAGTTGGAATGGACGAAATCTATGGGGAAACCCATTAGAATTCGTCCAAGGATTCTAAGGAAGGAGTCCATGGGCTGCTTAAGGCCTAAGCAGGTAGATTAGGGTTTCCTAGTTGAAAACCATAATAGCCTCACTATATAAGGAATCCATAAGGCCCCAAAAACGTGTGAAAGTAATCCCTAATGGTTCTTGGACGTTTTTGGTGCCTCCTTTTCTTCTCATAAGTCATTCTCTTGCTTGTGGTGTTTATAAGCCATTAGAGGAGTGACATTTGTGACTCGAAGCTCCAAGACAAGAAGATTCAAGCCTTTCTTGTAAAGGTAGTCATCTAGATCTGATCTTATATGATAATTTCGAAATATGTATGCTAGATCTAGGGTTCTTAAGTCTCGGATGAACTGCATGTACAATAGAGAAACCTAGATCCAAGCTTTAGGGTTTGTATGAGCACATAGGATGTTCTTTTGTATAAAACCCATCACCTCACCCATCTGGTCCTATTTATGTTCCTACTTGGGAGTATATATGGGAGCGGGGTTTAATGGATCCAAAGGTTTCCATTTCCTTCTTTGAAAACATTGCTTCTCCAGGGACCTGCTCATGTTCATCCAAGGTCATAGAGAGCATATTCGTTAAATTGTTTGTGGTTTTGTCCGATGGTGTTTCCCATAATGTGAAATTGTTTCGCGATCTGTATGTAGAGCTTGTGGATAAGGTTTCCGAGTTAGAGAAAGTCTCTCCGAATATGGAAATAGTTTCCCAAGCCGAGATATATAAGGTGAGGTGTGAATTGTCCATCGTACAAAGTGAAAAAGCTATCTTGGAAAGTAAGTTAACTAGTTATGAAGATGTTGTTGAGGAAGTTTCGATGCTAAAGGCTACGATAGCATCTCTAAAATTGGATAAGGTTAGTCTGGTGGACAAGATAGCCATGTTGGATCATGTTGTTTGAAAGTTGAGATGGGACTTGAGTGACTTCTCCCTCTGAAACACAAGTTTTCAGGAGAGTGTGGTTGGGCTAGAGAATCATTTCAGCAAAGTGAATGAGGATGTATCTTGGGTGTTATCTCATGGGATCTCTAGGCTGGTGGACAAACTTATCGTCGAGTTGTCTTTTTTTTTTAGGCTAACCGCGATATTCAAATCATATGTGTTGATTTTGGCCGTAGAGTTGGCTGCGAAGTGATGAATACATAGCAAAATCTGGGTTTGAACGAGACTGACATTCCCTTATATGATCCTACTGATGGGATTTATATTGATCTAATATGATAAGGTAAAACAATTTATCAATTTAATCAAAATAATCAATCAATTATCACATAAGGAAACAAATATTTTATTAATTGATAATTATCTTTAATTAGATCAAGAATATAGTCATATATATATCATAAAATCGGATTTATATTGATCTAATATGATAAGGTAACTATCCTAATGCAAAAACAGCAAGAAATCCCGAGATAAGCACTATCTGACGAGTTGACTCTTCGAGTCACCCTGGACTCGACGAGTTCAACTATGGACTCGGCGAGTCCAGCCTCTAGAACACCAAAAATCGAATTTTTTAGATATGCAATGCATCAATACAATTGAAACCAAGCTAGGCTCTGATACCACTTATGGGTTTTGGTCATAAGACATCCTATGTGCTCATACAAACCCTAATGCTTGGATCTAGGTTTCTCTATTGTACACGCTTTGAATCCAAGACTATAAACCCTAATTCTAGCATATGGAAATCGATATTAACATATAATTATGTTTAAGAACATACCTTGATTGTTATAGAGTAATAACAATCCTAATTCCTCCTTGAATTGACTTTGGAAGGCTTAGAGTCACAAGTGTCACTCCTCTAATGGTTCACAAACACCATAAGCAAATGGAGAAGGTATAAAGAGAGAGGAGAGAGGTTAGAATTCGTCCTTAGGATTCCTTGGGAAGGGATACACGAATTCATGAGCCAAGGGGTGTTTATATAAGTGTAGAGATAAGGTTTCAGTCATTATCCTTATCTAGTTGCTTATCTACAAAGCAACCCATAAGATAATCCTTGAATCCTTATCATAGTCAAATTCTAAGGCCTTATCACCTCAAATTCGTTCACCATATATTTAAGATAATCCTTACCTTATTTTGTAACTATCACATAATTACAAATCAGCCCCTCTAGTTTAATTAATTACACTTGATCACAAAATTAATTCCTAATTAATTATTGACCAATATTAATTAAACAAATATGATTTCTCCTTTAATATATTATTCTTATAACATATTAATAAATCATAATATCCTCTCTCTCTTTATTTATTTCTCCAATCAAGTTGCTTTGGTGAGGGCAACCCAAAAGGACCATGCACCATCAGGTCAAGTACATACCAAAATAGTTATGGACTTAGACACTAATCCAACACCTACATGTATGCAAAAGATAGAGGAAGCATTTTCTGCTTTATTTTATGGTGATTAATTGTTAGAATTTGATTTCCCCTTAACAGATGTTGGGCAATTAAGTACATTTCTGGGTCGTTCTGGTGATGGTGGTGCATCTACAAGCGGTCATGGTGGTGGTTCCGATAGTGGTGGACCTTGAATGGTGTTGTGTTGTTTCCTTGTGATATTTGGCATGAATATGATGGTTTAATTGTGATCATTTGTCATATTCCTAATACTAGGTTGTTTAGGTCTTGTCGTAAGCTGGACCTCGATATTTCTTGTCTTTTGATTGCTCTATTTCGGGCCTGTTATTAGTAATGATTTTTTCCTTTGTACTGACACTTGGGGTGATGGAATGGTTGTGGTTGGATCATATGGTTGCGTGCGCGACTATTTAAATTTATTATAGCTTGTCCCGATTGACTATGTGATAACCATTTATTTGTGTTATAGGATTATAATTTTCTCTTATAGTTTGTTCCTTGAGTTTTGTGGTTTTGGGCTGGTTTCTTTGTATGTCTTCGTAAGTATTTTCTACCAGCTAATGATGTTTGTTTGATCCCGCTGATGTTCTTTGAATTGGACATATATCCTAGGTCACAGTTTCAACTTTTCAAAGATTGTTGTAATTTGTGATTGACTCTCGGAGCGACATAGTTTAAAAAGAGTAAGGGTTCTTAGGCTAAGCGAGTGGCTGAGGTAGGAGTATTGAACTTTGATTTTTGGAAATATGTAGTCGGCTAATCAAGCTACAAAGTTTATAAAGAATAAAGATATTCATGGGCTAAACAGTTAGCCTAGGTCGGAGTGTAGAACGTCGACCTTTGGAAAGTTGTAGACGGCTGACCAAGCTACAAAATTTATAAAGAATAAAGATATTCTTGGGTTAAGCAAGTAGCCTAGGTCAGAGTGTTGAACGTCGACCTTTGGAAAGTTGTAGTCGGCTGACCGAGCTATAAAGTTTATAAAGAATAAATATATACTTGGGCTAAGCAGGTATCTAGGTCAGAGTATGAATCAACTTTTTGTTGGGTTATATGCATTACATTTATCCTGTGGTGTACATACAACATTGAATGCCAAAGCAATAAACCCTAGTTCTAGCATACTATAACCGAAATTGACATATGATTAGGGTTTAGATCTTACCTTGATTGTTATTTAGCAATAACAATCACAAACCTTCTTGATCTTGATTCTTGAAAGCTTAGTACCCCAAGTGTTGCACCTCTAATGGAGTCACAAACACCATTAGCAACAAGGATGAACAAGAGAGATAAGAGGGAGTAAAATCGGCTCTAGAACTCTTCTTAGGGTTAGGTGAGCCAATTTTGGATGCCTAGGGTGTCCTTATATAGCTGAGGAATTAGGGTTTCACTTAAAGGCCTTATCTGGTTTCTTAGGCTCTAAGCAACCTACAAGATCCTTCTAGAATACTCCCTATGGACAAAATCTTATGGGCTATCCATAAGGATTTCCTCCCACCCCTTTCCAAGGGTTCCTTAACCCACAATGCAATTATCTTATAATTACAATATTAGTCCCCCAAGTTTAATTAATCTCTTTCGACCACAAAATCAATTCTAAATTAATTCTTGATCATCATTAATTAAACAATATGATTTCTCCTTTAATATATTATTCACATAATATATTAATAAATCACAATTAATCCTCTTTCTCCTTAACTCATCCTATCAGTTTCTATGGTGAAGGCAACCCAAAAGGACCATGCTCATAATCGGGTTAAGTACATACCAAAATAGTTATGGCCTTAGACACCTAATCAAACATTCTCCCACTTGGATAAGTCTAATAACTATTTTGCAAGTACTACTTCAGAACCTGGTCAGCAATCATAGCTTTCAAAAGCCGCTGTCAACTCTGATCTTATCAGCAACGCACCCTTTAGATAAGGGATCATATATTCCTTCATTCTAGATATCGTATAGACATGAGACATGAATTATAATCATTCTCTTAGTCTATGTGTTGTTTCCTTATTTCCGGTTTATGACGAATGACAACAGACTACAATTGAACACGTCAACTTAGTCCCGGCTTGGCCAAGTGGTTAGGGTGTCATCACTAAATCATAGAGGGGCCCACATATATCGCTTTTATCTCACTTTGGGTAAAAGGAATGGATCAACTTTGAATCATATGCTTTCTCTATTTACTCATCAAATCATACACAACAATATGTTTTACAACACCACGTTACTAGTGCGTCTACATATTATCGAGAGCAGCCGACCTGTAAACTGCACCTATATGTCTCCTTTTGAAGAATATAAGATATTATCGTCTCACCAATCACTCGTGATAAAATCCACGAAGGGATCCAAGTGAGAGTGGGTTTAATCCAATACTCAAATCTTATTTCATAAGTACTTATGAACGTTGTAGCAGACTTTTGCTATGTCTAATACACTTTAGACAATCTACAAGCGAATTCATGACAATCTTCTTTCATACCTACTTTCAGAGCACGAGTGACTGTGGATGGTTTGAATAATCTTATTATTCGGGAAGTCAAAACATGTGAAGTGAAACATAAAAATAATACTAATATTATATGGCCCCAAAACTTTTAGATATAAATAAAACACCTTTATTTAATCACCGTATTTATTACTGATTATTCATTGTATAATGTTTCAGATAGTCAACTTATAACTTGAATTATAACAACAGTTGTCTCATGCTCCAAGCATGCACAATATATTTACCTATGGTCCTTACTTTGTGAAATAGATCAATTGAAAACATTTCCATTGATGCTCATTTCACAATTCCTAATCCTTATCACTAGTGTAAGAATACAAAATTCTTGCAACTATTAGAATAGGCTAGAAAAAAAGTTTTATACAACGATCCTTTCATAATGTTATAGAGCCAAAGTCACCAAGACTTTTCCAATGAAATTACAAATTTCTCTATTGGAAATTGTTACAAGACAATTCCATAGATACGAAGTCTCACATTTAAAGTGCATTCCTTGAACATCCTTCTTGCATAAAAGTTTCAAATCTAGACATAAATTCTAAACATCCAACTCCTAATATGGAAACATTTCCATATTTGCCATATGAAAACTCATTCTAAATAGAGGCTTATCTATTCATAATAATGTCGATATGGTCCATCCATTGCTATACTTCCAACTGTCTACAAGCGACCAATCCTTGACGAACCTTAGATCATCCTTGATAGTTGTTTAATTATTTTAGTCAAATCTGGTTCTAGTCCTTTTTCCCTCTAAACGCCTTAGGCATTTGGAAAATGTAGAATGGTCAAATATTATAGCGTATGTAATCGATCCTATACCCGAAGCGTAGAGGACACAATCCATAATGAAAAAAACGTGATACTTTACTAATTTCTTTCTATAATATTGCCATATATAGAATCCTTTTAAGTTGAACCTTTTCAACATAACATCTATATATGTCCTTTGACTAAATTTGATTAAAATTTCTTGATCCAAGATTTTGGATTTTGAAA